AATGTGAAGAAGTCTATCAAAATAAACAAAGAAATGAAAATCAGTGTTTGTCTTCATTTGGGGTTGTCCAATTTGTCTCCCACAGTTCCAGTGACCAAATCTTGCTGCTCTGGAAGTCATGTCTCCTCATTCTACTGGCTGGCACCTTCTAGGCTCCAGGGGAATGCAGGTGTCTTGCAAGGTCTCCAGTGGAGGAAGATGGTTTGCTTCACCAGTATAAGGCCCTTGAACTTGTCTCAGTGTTCAGTGGCAAGCCACTGATGAGCATGGAGCATGGGGAGAAGTACTCATGGCAACCTGTGTTGCTAGGCAGATGGATTATTTATTGTATTTTGTTCCTGCCACAGTGTTCTTAGAGATCCTGGCTCCATTTCTAGATAGAATCAATGGTAATGAAGTCTGAAGGTTAAAATATATGGATCTCTAGGGCCATTTCTGCTCCTGGGTGGGATGGGGAACAGCAACCTTGCACTTGCATATAAAAGTGAGAGTTTTTTTCTGCTGCAACTCTTCAGGCATAGTCCCAGGGACTAAGCACTGTCAGTAGTTTCTTGCCATTGAGGAATACTGCTGAAAAATGCACGTTCAGCCACTTTTCCCCAAATGCAGCTTTCCAGAAACTGGACAGGAGCATCTAACAATCCAAAGGATCATAGCTGTATGTAAGCAGCAAGTGGTATTTGCCAGGACAGTTGATGATGATGCCATACAGTGGAATGAAAATGATTTCAGATGCTGCCATTGCAAGCAGATTTGAACCTATATTTCACTTCCTTCCATATTTTACTTACAGCCTTAGCAAAAAATGGAACTTACTGCCTCTAAAACAAATTCCCTTGCTGCCTGCATTCCTATTTGTCTCTCACTGCTAATTGCATGATTTAACTTCCTGCTTGTGCCAGTTCAGATGCTTGACAGACCCTGGTTCCAAATTTCTTAACATGGCAGAAGCCTATTCACTTTTTGATGGATTGTTTTTCTACTACTTCAGTGACTCATACCTACTTTCAAGGAATGGCACAGCCAGCATGAGGTAGGAGGTTGTGTAGCCAGCAGTAGAGAAAAAAGGACAAAAACTGAAGAAACAGCTGGATCCTCCCCCTTTTCAGCATCAATGAACTCTCCATGTCCCATGGAATCATATATTCTGATGTATTTAAAAGATCAGATTTTGGGTGAACTTTTGAGTAAAGAAGACAGAAGAGAAACTGCAAGGAACAAGGTAGCTGCTTTTACTATCATTTTCCCAAAATTTGAAAAGAGATACAGCTTAGGCAAGGCATGGTGGAGTCTTTTTCTCATTTTTATTGGCTTGCTGTGTATAGTTTGGGTGAGCAAATGTGTTTAGATAATACTTTTGAAGAAGCTGTTTCCAAATCACTCAAATCAGCAGTTGATCCCAGAGAAAGAGAAGAATGGCAAAGCCAAATGAGTTTGGGTCATTCGTACCATATGGGTGAAAAATGGTTCTGCAACACAGAAACACCTTCTGATTGGTAGGGCTATACATTTTTAACTACAAAGGAGTTACAAGCAGACTCCTGTCATGGAATCATTATTGGAATCATAGCTATTAGTTACTTTACCTGTGAAGGGCAAACAAATACACTTATTTATGTTTTCATTTTCATGGTCCAATGGACCCACAGAGGAAGTTCCACAGTGAAGGTCTTCAGCAAGTGGTCAGAGCAAAGATGTGCCCAAACACTATTGGTGAGTCCTGAAACATGGGGGGCAGTGATTTGTGGGACATTACCATCACTCCTTCAATTTCTCTATTTTCTATGTCACTTCTCCCATTTTAGAGATACTTTTATATGCTGAGCAAAATTTCTGAATGTACGCATGGAAAATATACAAAACGCGGGATAAGTCTGTGATAACTGAGAGGAATAAATGTAATTAAAATACTTACAGAGGCAAAGGTACCTTACCTCTATTAGGCATCAGTGGATTCAGGCTTTAAATCAACACTTTTTTCCCTGAGATATTTTTTGACATTTTAAAAATGAAAAATTACAAGCTTAAAAGGGTATGTTCTCTTCAGAGGAGCTCTTTAAGGATCTTGCATGCAGCAGCTGATATTTCAAGCTGTTGAATTAGTAGTTCTGGGTTTCCTTTTGTACTTGGCTGTGCCAAAATGCGATTAGTTGTTTCAGCCCACTCATACCCTTGGTTTGAGATGTCTGTGCATTAAGTTAGAAGGGAAATAGTCATGTGGTTCAGGTCCAATATTTGATCTGCATTATAATTGTTAACATTTCTTTCCTACATGTTGCCAGGAGATTTAAAGTGGTGAGTTCTCATTTTGAAGTGCTTTCTTATTCTGTATTTTATTCTGTTCCTGGAGACAGACAAAACACCAAAGCCCTGTATGTCAGGAACTGGGGGAAGAAAGGGAAACAGGTGCTGACATTTGGCTGCAAACTGTTCAAAGTAAAAGGAAACTTCAGGCTGGAGCAGGAGATGCAAACTTACAGTAATTGTCCTGAGTGGAATCTCAATAACATGGGCAAGAGATTGTGAAATACTGTTTGCTGAAATTAATAATATCTGTAGGAGACAAAAGATTTTGCACCTAGGCTAGGGGTGCCAAACGTACAGAAAAAAATATCCAGGATTTCACTATTATATACTTGGAATAATGCTTTCCCAAAGGAGCTATTATGGCAGCTAATGAGGGCCTGAGTCAGCTGCTACAGTAGGTCTAAGTGTGGCAAACACAACATGTAGTATATGTTGCAGACTTCATAATTTCCCCTTTCTTTCTGAATTTTACACATTATTGTTTAGTTACCATAACTCTTGGAGGAAACTGAGATAAATGTGTGTTAAATATAGTATGTGAGGAAAGCCAAGCCCAAATACTGCTGAGATTGCTGGGAAGATGTGAAAATAAAGTGGCCTGAGTGGAATGACTGTCTTACCACTTCATGTTCACAATGGCTCAGATCTACACAAAAACTGCTGTAGAAACACAAGATTCTCAGCTTTCCACAGCAAGCAATATGTATTTAAAAAGTGAATGTTGTCTGTATTTTGGGCATGGGCTGGGCATGAAAATCTGAATGAGTGAAAAAGCATTTTTTAAAGTATTCATTAGGGGTATCTAGTAAACACTTTGAATTAACTCAGCATTTGTAAAATGGCTCTGAACATCCTGTGATAAATCAGGTGATCTGGAAAATGACACAGGGAATCTAATCCTTGGACACAATACTTAAGAACAAGAAATTTCACAGTGAGAAGATGAGAGAAGTAATAAGAAAGCTCTGTGCTCATCAAACAATGTATTTTGTTCTTCAGTTTCAAACACATGGCTGATCTACCACAACAGATCAACAGCCAGCAAAGATGAAGGTTCTGTATTTGGAGACATTGAGGGAACAAGAAATGGGACTGCATTACACTGAAAGATAAATGGCCTTTCCTTCTGTTTCTGCTACATTCTCTAGATTTAGCTTTTGCACTGTTCTCACTGAAACTTCTGTTATCTGCTTGAGAGGAAACAAATCCATGTCACTCATGTAGTCAAAACACGTACTTTGAAGTATAGACTGGTGGTGGTGGTAACATGGCGGCAGCCACTGAATGAGTCATGCGCTCACAGGATGGATCGCCTTCATGTCCATCCAGCCTTGAGCTGGGTGTCCCCCAACTGCTCAGGGCCCACCCATGGCCTGGGGCACCCCCAGCTCAGGCCAGCAGGGCAAGGCCTTACCGCCCCCTGAGCAAAGCAGGGGTTTTTCAGCTGCTGGATGCTGGGAGTTAGTAAACAAAACAAAACAACCAAAGTCATTGTGTCTAAAACAGAGTGTTTAAGCAGCACCCCTGCTGCCTGGAGTAAAAGGCAGCTGCGGGGTGACCTCATTGCAGCCTTTCACTACCTAAAGGGAGCCTACAAACAGGAGGGGAATCAACTCTTTGAAAGGGTAGATAACAGCAGGACAAGGAGAAATGGTTTTAAGTTGAGGGAGGGGAGATTTAGGTTGGATGTCAGGGGGGAGTACTCTTTACTATGAGTGTGGTGAGGTGCTGGAACAGCTGCCCAGAGAGGCTGTGGATGCCTCGTCCATCCCTGGAGGTGTTCAAGGCCAGGTTGGATGGGCCCCCGGGCAGCCTGGTCTGGTATTAAATGTGGAGGGGGGTTAGAGATTCGTGATCATTGAGGTCCCTTCCAACCCGGGCCATTCTGTGATTCTGTGATTCGGTTACTTTAATAAACTGTTCAAATCTATAGGTAACCATTTGGAGGGATCAGCTTTGTTAGAGAGCATAATCAGCTGTTTTCCCAACAGACTAACACTGTATGTTCTCTTGGGTATATATTATACCCTCTTTACTCTGAGCTACGTTCAATAAAAACAGAAATACGTCGTTGAAAGGCACTGTTGATTGCTATTTCCTGCAAATAGCAAATGTTATAAGTAAGTGATTTTCTAGAGCAAAGAAGCCCTATTTCTGTTCAATACTGGTGGGATCGTTTTTGTATTCCAGGCTTACATGAATAGGGAACACCTCGTGTTTGTTCGGGAAGTATCTATGAGCATTCGAAGAGGCATTATCCAAATTAGCTTTGCAATATTTTCACATTTGATAAATAATACCTACTGTGGGGAAGACAGTGCTTTGGTTCTAGGAATTCCTTAAAAAATTAGCTCCTATGCATATATGGTTGCATCCTGCTGGAACATTCATATTTGTATTTTCCCCACTTCCACAATCATTTGGTCAGAAGAACTGCGCGTTGCAAGTACGTCTGCTAAAATACACAGCTATATTTAAACTGTGTTTTATTTAATATCACTGAGAATATTTCAGAGTTTCTGAGTGACGATATTTAGGATAAAATGTTCTTTCACTTTCTAAAGCTGAGACGTAGAAATCTCTGCAATTGCTGGGAAGACTGTTTATTTAAAAAAAAAAAAAAAAAAGGAACATTGTGAAACGGCAGAATTCTGGCACTCGTCCAAGTCTCCCTGCCAGGACAGCGGTGCTTGTGCCCGCCGCTGCCACATGCGCCAGGTGTGACTTCAGTGGTGGGTTCTGTCACTTCGGCATGGCGCTGGCGGCCCGAGGAAGCCGCGGTGGCGGTGGCAGCGGCCGAACGGGAGGAGGGAGGGGAGCGCCAGCCGGGCCGCCGTGCCCCGCGTCGCCACGGCGACGGCTCGGGTCCCGGCCATGGCGGAGGAGGGGAGCAGTGAGGGTAAGGCCGGCAGGTCCACCATGCGGGGCCACGAGCTCGAGGTGGACGGGGCCTCCCCAGCGGCGTGCAGCCGGCCTGGGCGCGGGGAGCGAGGGGCCCGGCGTTGGGTGACGGCGTGGGGCGGTGCCAGCCCTCCGCCAAGGAAAAGTGATCCGGGCCGCTGGGGGCACCGGGGTTTATTTTTAGAGGCAGGCATGTTCTGCTTCGGGAGGCGCTGCCAGAAAGTGTGATTTAAAGGCGAAAGGTAATTCCTCCCGCAAGGGTGTCCGAGTGTCGTTTCCAGAAGGTTGTAGTTTCTGTGCAGCTCGCCACAGTGTCACTTCTGAATGCCGTCTTTTGTGTAAATAAACACACGGACGTGGTAGTGCATCGGAGATTGCGAACACCGTAATAGAAATAATGTAGAGAATAGATTATTTCGTATTAGTGAGCAAAAGCGGTATTTTCTGTGGGAAACTATAAATAGTCGTCGTGGGTAACGCTGAGTGAGGAGTTTGATTTTGGTAGTATTGTAAGAGCCGTTTGGATGCATTGCATAAATTCAGGGTTAGGACCAATGTTGCAGCAGTGAGGTCTGTTCTGACCATCAAAGTTGATTTTTATTTACGTTTAGTCTTGAAAAGGTGTGTTCTTCATCATCCCATTATTGCCACAGAAGCTGAGGCACTGTGCTGGCAGAGGAAGCTGGAGATTGAAGGATAAGGGTTTGGAAATCTGAACTTTTGAAGAAGACATAGTCTGGTGTGCTGGGAAGCTCTGGCAGCCACTCTTATGGTATTGAGTTTTTGCACCAATTTGTTATCCATTGGCAGAAATTATTGGAGAAGGAAGCTTTGGTAGTGGTGGTGGATTTTGTTGGGTTTTTTTTGATTGCTTGATTAATAGCTTCTAATGCATTTTTTTAGTTCTAATGTAATTTTAAAGAAGTTGAAGTACTGTATTCCCGAAGACACACCCTTTTGTTGATTATTTTTTAACTACTTCAGGTGTTTTATAATCCTGTAAAGAACTGTTTCCAGGAGACCACCACATGTTATCTTCTAGAGGAAAACTGTGCTATCAAGGATTCCATTCCTGGCCCTTCCTGTCAGATCGCAGGAAGGTGGCAAGCTGGGCTTTGGTTTCCTGTCTGTAGGAAGAAGACAATGACTTGTATCTCATGGATAGTGTGAAGACATGGCATCTAGCTTCCCTTTGGTCACTCATGAGAATTGTATGCTCTTACTGAGCAGATGAGTTGCTTATCGCCTCATAGAGTGTCTCATCACTGAGGCAAACTAATAGTCAATGTCTCACTGAAGTGCAGAAGCATCACATAAGAGGAGGTGGCTTATCTCCATGTCAGAGTTGCTCTTAGACCTCCTGCAGATAGTTGCTAGGGGGTTAAATAGAATTCTCAAATCCTGGATTTCCGCAGCAATCATGCTTCCAACAAGCATTCTATGTAAACACAAACTGCAGCTTTTACTTTATTGTGTCTCAAACAGAAGAAAAGCATTAGTTGCGTTGTCAAATAATTAGTCTTTAGGGTATTCCCCTTGGTTCTTGGTAGAACTGTAGTTCTACCTGCTTTTGTGGTAAAAGTTTCCCTTAGGTCCTATTATTTTCAAGTTTGTCTTCTTCAAAGTTAAAATGCTTACTTTAATGTTTAAAAATATACTGGATGTACACAAGAAAAAACAGTGCAAGGCCAAGGCCTCTTTTGCATGACATTGCTAATGTGTTACCCTCTAGCTTACATAATTGTGAATAAAATCTTGCATGTGCGTGAGTGTTAATATCATGCCCACAGTATATGGAGCTGTATGTTTTATGCATGAATTTATATTCCTAGATTTGTGCTTTCAATGTTGTTTAATGTTTTTTTTTTCCTTTATGCCCATCTGATTATATTAGACTGCTTCATCTTTCTCTTTTGCATATTCGTCCGTATCTTTCTTCCCATCATTCTGTTTCTTTCCCCTTTTTTGCTACTTAATCCAATCTGTCTGTTCTTCAGTTTGTTCTCAGGTACTTCCTTTATAATTTGACAGAACGTGGCAGATTTTCTAAGTTTTCGTATCTCTGATCTCAATGCTGATGTTACTAGAACCTGAAAGTAAAGTGTCAGACCGGTAGTGCCTGAAGTAAAACTAGATGGAAGACAAGACATATTTTTCTCCTGCTGAGATTTAAGAAATTACATGGAAGTACATAAAAGAGAGAACGTTCAGTGTGACTTTATCATTATGGTAATGTTGTGTATGTGATCATTATGAGAATTTTACACACACCATATTCTTTGTGCTAGTTAGCGCATATTTAAAATGCAATTAATAAGTCATGAATTTGAATCCAAAAGGAAGTAGATTAAATATTCTGAGCTCCTGTTGCACACCCATATGGAACTGTACAACTGATTCTGGGTAACAGAAGTCTTCCAGATGCATACCTGATTCTGATGTGAAGACTTAAGGAGATGGACAATAGCCATTCTCTGATGAGGATTTTCTCTGGTAAATAGTAGTGGTTCTGGAGAATTCAATTTACTGCTGCAATATGTAATTAGTCTTCACAGATCCTTTTCCCAACTTGTGAGAAACTCACATTGAGGTTGTTAGTGGAGATGGGAAAGAGTTTTTACCTCTGTTTTAGAGCCTTATGTAAATATAGTACCATTGTGTTGAGCTGTACACACACCTGCTCTTTAGCTGCCCTGCTTTGCCACCTGGCGTGCTGGTGAAATTAGAGATGCACTGCAGTTTACTTCTGTTAAGAAGAGGCTGCACATCCTATTTATCTGTTACCTTTTGTGAAAAAGCAGAGTTGCCACTGCTTCATTTGCCCCTCTGAATCTTCCTACATCTGTGAGTGGGATCTAAATGTTCTTCACATTGCCTCAGTCTGCTTTGAGTCTGTATTCATTACAGAGATTAAAAGCGCTCTGTTGCTGTTCACTGTATTTTTGTGGAGTTGTGAGTCCAACATTAGCGAGCCTGGTGGCTGCCATGAGTGCTATAGGCATTTGTAACCATTAATTGTGCTCACAGCTCACTTAACTAGCAGGAGAGTTTCAAACCTGATGCAGCAAAGTGCTTAAGCTGTGTACGGCTTTGGAGAATTCCATTGAAGGTGATAATATGAGGCATATGATGTTAAGAACATGAGTCCATTTAAATATTTTGCTATACTGAGGATTTAAAATTGGTTTTGGGGGTTTTCAGGGGTTAAGCATCAGCATATGAAGTACAAAAGCTGTAGACTAAACACTTGCGATAAACCTTCAGACTAACGTATTTCATTGGGTGAGTTATCTCTAATTGTAAAAGAAGCAGTGTTTCTTTTGAGGAAAAAAATACATTAGCATACGTTGTTAAAACAAATAGCTTTCATAGGGCTCAAGCAAGGACTATTTCAGCTGTAGAAGAAAACCTGAATATATGAGATCCCTTAAAAAATCAGTGTGTAGTCTTACCACTTGAGGATTTAGAGATAAATACTGCTTCCTCTTGTTGACATCGCTGTGAGAAATTGTTTGAGGAGGCAAGTTGATATCTTTTATTAGGTCGTAATGCGGTTTAACATGCGCCTTGACATCACTTTGAGTTATGTTTTAATATTTGTACTTGAGACTGAGACAAAGAATAAATTGTGCCCATCTTTTATAGATCAGCACAGGCTGTAGACGTCTAATCCTCTTGGCTATAGCCCTGCACTAGAAGTTATCTCAAATGCATGTAGAAGAGGTAGTTGCAGATTGGCAGATTTCTTGTTTCCATGGCACATAAAATAGCAGAAGTTATTCAGTTTGGCTGTAATTCTAACTGACTTACCGAGTACAAAATTAGCTGGTTTGCAGAAAGGCTTTAAACTTTTTTTGTCTTTTAAACAATGCCAACCAGCAGATATGCAGCGCTGACAGGGAGCTGGAGAACTCCCACAAATTCTCTCTCTAGCAGTAGTTAACATGTTATTAAGAATTTCCATGACTGCATACTAATTATTCTGAGATCTGAGGATTTATTTCTTTATTTCTTTATTTTCACGCCACCTTAATTTGTGTGAGCAGATACTGCTTTGTTGCTATTGGTAGTGGGATTTGGCAGGGTGAGGGTAAGGGGCAGTAACTGTGGCTACTGTGTGAGCCTGCAGGGACCTGCTGCAACGTGAGAGGCAGGGGCTTCCCAAACACAAACCTGGCCAGCAAGGGTTTTGAAGTTGCACTGTGTGTTGATCCCATGGGATGGTTTTATAAATGACCTTTAACTGTGAATGTCAATCTTTAAAATTAAATACAGATTTCAGCTCTTTGGAAATATGAAATATTTCCTGCCTGATGTTATATAGGTGTGGGTACTATAAGAAGTCCTGCAGATGTGAGATTGGGCAGAATTTCCTTGAGTCCAGCCTGCTGCTGCATACAGCCATCGCTTTCAAAAACTTATCAGATTTGAAGTTTTTTGAAGAAGTTCCATCTTCAGTATGGTAAGGATTTTTGTGTTGCTTGTTTAACTTGGCAGGAGATTATGGACCTGGACCTTGTTGCTGGTGGTTAGGTTACAATGAGACGTGAGTTGTGAAATTTATCCATGAGCAGCATGTGTTCTTTTTTCTGCCTCAAATGGTTATAGAAATTTCTTCTCCCATATTGACAATAAATGTAAATGTCTTAAATTTATCAGCTAAAATACTGTTCAGATTCCGACTATGATCCTTACGCAAACAAAAAGATAATTGGAGGTTCATATGTATTCATAATGTGTAAAGAAGTGGGTTTAGCCCTGCATGTAATGCTTTCAAGAGAACTCCTTAAGAAGCACGTAGCTGCAGCAAGCCCCCTCTAATCCCTTGCTGTTTTATTTCTCTTTGAAGCTGCTTTGGTTGGTCCAAGTCCTCAGGCCAGAGCAGTGCAGATAGAATGGCAACCAGTACAGAAGCTGTATTTTTGTAATCCCATTTAAGACCCTTTCAGGCAACTTGTGATATGTTATATTTTGGCAGTGTGTATTAGAAGTCATACT